CCCCCCCCCCCCCCCCCACCCAGCAAGTCTTTTCAAGCTACCTTTGTTTCGGTGTACTTGGAGTGGACTAATGCCCTATTTCTCTGTGTAAGACCAGCTGCTCTGCCTTGCCAGGTTGTTGCTCAGGAGATGGGAAATGATTGAGTAGCAAGTACAATGATACACTTTAAACTGGAAGAGTTAAAAACCAAACAAGAACCCCTAAAGCCCCCAAAATGTACAAAATGTAACTCTTGGTAAATTTCCTTTGTGGGCATTTGTTGACTGAGTCAAGTTTTGCTGTTCTAGGTACCAGCCATGCTTTTTCACAGGGTTATGTGCCTTGAGTTCCAGGGGAGGGGAGGAGAATGCCCTCTTTTTTTTTTTTTTAATTAATAAGTAACTTTCCAAGAACAATTCAGTTGAGGAAAACAATCCAGCAAAAGAAAACCAAACCCAAAACCAGCCAAACAAAAAAGTTAACACTGTTGCCATTAAGTACTTTTTCCCTTTTGCTTGCTGCTTTGATATTCCTGACTGATGGTATCCAAGAGTCTGCTAATAAAGACTGTATCTGCAGTACCTTGAGAGATGTGCTCCGCATTTGTAATAGCTTCTTGTCTCTTGAACATAAAATCTGGCATTTCTTTACTCCAAGTTAGTAACGACAGAGTGATTTAACCAAGTTTAATGCCACTAGATGGAGCTTTGTCACAGCTGATACAAAAAAGGGTTTGAACTAAGACCAAAACTGTTCTTACTAGTGCGTGTAAACTTCTGGCCAGTGATTCCATTGTATGGGCAGTAGCCATGTACCTTGGCAGAGGTTTCTTTTTTTCATTTATTCTTACAAACCCTCTGCTTTAGTCTCCTTCAGAAAATTATCCAATGGTACTTTGTGGCAGGGGTGCCAGGATGGTAGATGGGTATTTTCTACTCGGGTTTCACAGATAATCCTGGCTGTAGGATCACTGGAGTAAGTAGTGTCATGGGTTTGTTTTCATGGGCAACTCCAGTGAATTCTGAAGGTGATCATCAAATTACTGTTCAAACAACTATATCCATTACCCAGATCTGATAGAAGTGTGTTGGTTCTAGCTCTGTTTCTGCCAGCAGCTGGAGCCAGATCAACTCTTTCCTGCTGTGCTGGCAAAGAATTTGCTCTGCTGGGCGTTACTGGACTATGAGGACATCATGTTGGGTAGGGGAAAGAGACGCTGCGGAGGTGGAACGCAAGCAGTACGGAGGTGTACGATGCACCCGAAAGGCGTGGTGCAGCAGAGCAGCACACCTGCAGTCTGCAAGGGAAGGAAACGCACCGTGCTGTTGCTGCAAACCCTGCCGAGGAGGTGAGGGGTGTTGGGATGTGTGTGGGGTGACTGTATCTGGCCCCGCAGAGCCGGTGCATGGGAAGGAGCTGGTTGTTAACATCTCAGTGAATGTTGTAATTGTGTTGGATACTGAGCAAAGTATTTAATGGGCTAGATGAAAGCATTCTGCTTATTTAATTGGAAATGTCTTGCTGCTTTACATAGACCTAGTGCCCTATTTTTATGAGATTTAGAATTGTGCTGAGAAATTGTTTCCATGGAAGCACAGATCACTAAAGAAATAATGTGCTTCACATTTCCTACAGGATTATTCCTTTGCAGCCTGCTGTTCTAAATCATTAACTCCTGTAGTGCCATTACACCTTAGCATGGATTAAAGGAAATAAAATTGTATTTGTTTAGTGTTGGAGACATTATGTATTTTTTTAATACATGTCCCTTCCAACTTGAGATATTCTATGATTCTATATAAATGTATATGTATGTATATAGATATTTGGAAAGACTTTTGTCTTTAAGTCTGTTCTCTCCTTATTTACAGAGGGGAAATGCACCAGTGCAGAAAAGTCAATGGAAAAGTACACTTTTATTTTGACAATTTATGCAGCTCTGCCAAGGAAACTTAAAATGAGTCCTTCTTTGCCCTTCTCTTGCCACTGTTCTACACTTTTTGCTTGGTGATGGTATATTGTAAAACTGTTGTCATGCTTCTGGCCACCTTTGAGGGAAGAGACAATGAATGCAGTTTTTAATTAATGTAACAGCAATGAAAGTCTTGCATCAGCAGGGAAAACAAAACAGACCATCTAATTTGGTTACCTGTGGTTTTCTGCCATATATTACTTTTGACAAACCACTTTTTTTTTTTTCTACTTCACTGTAAGTCCCTGTAAGAAGGGGAAACTGTCAAATGGTAACATGAGGCTGAGACCAAAGGTGAATGTCTGTAAACGTCATATAAGCAAACTACTATTTACCAAAAAGTCCTGGTCCTGCCCCTGGCTGTGGTGCTTCCTCAGCACATGGGCAGCGCAGCTCTCAGCCCTACAGGAATTTGTGTCACTTCCCTGACACTGGTTGTGAGCTGCAAGTTTACAGCAGTTGAGGCTCTGTTCCCCAAAGAGAAGAAAAACAAAACCTACTCTCTCTAGAGTTCGTAATGTGAAATAAAATAAAGACGAGTATGTAGGTGACAGTTAAATGGATTTTGACTTTGAAGGAGGGACATGAAATTTTAATATATAAGCAATTATAGGTAAATGAATGACTTAGTAACTCTTGTCCCATTTTTATTTTCTAAACTCTTACCAAAAAAAATCCTCAATATGACAACTGGAAACACCTAACACTTTTTAAAATCATTTTGACTGTAGATCTCAATTTATTTTCAAAGAAAGGTAACTACTGTTATTTTTATCTGAAGGAAGGGGAAATGGAGAGGTGTGATAATGTGCTATAAAGGAGCCAGGAATAATCTGAAGTTGTCTCATCTTTGCTCCCTCAGTAATATGCATTTCAGTGGCTTATTTGGAAATAGGTCTAGCTGCAAAGTTCAGCTCCAGCTTGTGCCCTTCTCTAGTGGCAGAGGGTATTTACATGTGGAGCTCTAATCTGAAACCTATGCTGTGGTATAAATACTCACTGGCAGCTGGGTTAACTTCCCACTGCTTGCGTTGGTTTGAAGCAGGGCAGCCCTCGGGAAAGCAGCAGCAGCAGCACAGTTAGAAGGAGCTGATTGCAGGGCAGCGGGCAAGTAGTGTGGGTGGGAAAACGGTGTATATACGGTGCTGTGGTCGTTACTGGTCCTAAAGCAGTGATTTATAAAGTGTCTGACAGTGTTTGACAAATCAGATGAATGGGACTTGCTTAATGCAAACTGGAAAATATCTTTCAGCTGCTGCCAAAACACACGGAAAGGGTAACTCATGCTTTGTAGATCATTGGGACACTTGGGAGCTACTGGAGTGTACTGCGAAAGGCATTACTCAAAGTTCAGATTGAAAAATTTCTTCAGAAACAGCCAGCCACTTTAAGAGTAATGCAAGCGTGAAAATTATCGCTGCTAGTGCTGCCTTGGGATGGGTACGTGCTAAAGGGAAGGCGGAAAGCATCTTTCCACGCTGGAAGATGAGTCTGTGCTCCTGTAGGAGAGTGGGCACACATGTTCCTCCTGAACTGGCAGCTACTCCAGGGTTCTGTTGCAGCATCCACAAACGTGTGTGCGTAGTCCATAAAAAATTTAAGGACAAGGGCAAGCTGCTTGTGCTTTAATCCCTAAGGGAAAGCCAAGGTAGGAGCTGTGCTTCAGGTTGGCTTCTGGCTCTTCCCTTGTGTTTCCTCATCAAGCAAGGTGGGGGGTGGAGGGGGACAGGCATCTGGAGGCAGGCATTGGTGCCACTCCCTGAGAAGTAATAGATGATAGTGTACCTTGTTGACTTCGCTAGGATTTGGGTACAAGATGACAGTTGTTTCAGAAGGAGAACCTGTTTGGTGGGTCTGCTTTGAATCTCGATAAAGGGAGCAGCACACCAGTGTGTAGAAGCCAGTAGACTCCATTAATGGATCAAAGCTTCAGATATTGCCTGCTATCACTCGGGACTCGATCCACGCTTTTCACCCGCAATATGGAGCCTCTCATTGTGGTTTTGCTGGGTTTGATTCTGACGGTAGCTTCACCAGTGCAGAACGACTGTACCTGTGCGACCAACAAGTGGACGGTGTGTGCTCAGGATGCATATGGGAACTGCAACTGCACGCTGGTAGGTTCAAATCACCAGGTAAACTGTTCAACGCTGACTTCCAAATGCTTGCTGTTGAAAGCAGAAATGATCCCCCTGAAGCACAAGCGCTTCAGGGGCCATCTCCATGGGAAGCTGTTAGATGATGATGGCATTTACAATCCAGCCTGTGAGGACAGTGGTCTCTTCAAAGCCAGGCAGTGCAGTCAAACTGGTACTTGCTGGTGTGTGAACACCGCTGGAGTAAGAAGAACTGAAAAGGGTGACAAAAGCCTGAGTTGCAGTGAACTGGTAAGAACAAGCTGGATCTACATTGAACTGAAGCACAAACGAAGGTCCACTGACTTCAACGTTCCCGACATAGTAAAAACCCTGAAACACCTGTTGGAGAGCCGATACAAACTGCACCCCAAGTATATCACAGCCATTAAGTACGATTCCCCACGCATCCAAATCCGCCTGAAGCAGAAAGACTCCGAGAAATCTAGCTATGATGTCGATATAGCAGATGTAGCCTATTACTTTGGAAAAGATATAAAAGGTGACTCCATATTTAATTCTAACAGTTCATTAACTGTCTCTGTCAACGGAGATGCTCTGGATATTGAAACACTACAAATTAACTATGTTGATGAAAAGCCACCAGAGTTTTACTTGAGACGATTAGTTGGTGATGCTACTCGTGTGGTGACAGTGACAATAGCGGTTGTTGGCTCTGGCATCATCATACTCATTATTCTGGTGTGTCAGCGGGCAAAAAAATATAAGAAATGTGAGACTGAAGAAATGGGTGAAATAAGAGTACCAGGCTTAGATCTGCCGTGATCTGAAAAAAGAAAGGTATCTGAAATAAAGAAAAGTAATAGCAGGAAGAAAAGGAAGGAAAAAGTGCAAAATACAAATAGCAAACAGACTCAGTGTATGTGGATGGATTTGGAGAGGCTTTTTCCTTTTTTAGAGGAATTTATGCAGTGATTGTTCTAAATCATTCTAGTTGAGTAAGAATTACTTTTTTGGGTTTGGGTATAAACTAATTTGGGAGTCGGTTACCTATATATTTTAAGTCAAGTCCCAATTTAGAGGCTAAGAAAACTTAGAGCTGTCTATTTTAACATAACATAGAATGCCTTCACTACTACTGCAGGCCTGGTTCAGCTTGCTGAAACACTCTTTGAGTGGTTCTTAGTACATCTTCTTACTGAAATTCAAATACTTGCCTCAGCATAACTGTGTTATACAGCTGCTTTTCTGTTGGTAAAGACTTTTCTTTTCAATGTGGATTTTTTTTTTTTTAAAGTTGCTGGAACTTCTTTTATCAACACTGTCTTCTGAAATATTACTAAATAACTACAGTTGTGATAAGATACTCTACGGTACCAGAGGCTTTTCTACACAGTCATTTGTTAGGAAACATTCCTGCGGTCACTTCCAGGTGCAGAGATCCCAAGTTTCTGAGTTTGTATTCCAGCAGCACAGTGAGCTGTTCCCCCGTGTGCTCTTTAATGAGGGTCTGACACTCCTAGTCTGCAAAGATCCTGTGATCCCAATGCAAGTGTAAGTTAACCTTGGTGTTCTGCCCAAATTCAAACTCTGGTAATAGCTTTCTGTCTATCTAAATTCCTCTCGCAATTTTAATGGGAGGAGATATGTACAGCTTCAGAGAAATACTACACAATGCTTCAGAACAGCTGAAAAAAGAGCTTTTATTCTAGGAGAGCTGCAGAGGGAATTTAAGAGCAGAGTGTAATTACTGAGGTTGGAGTTGGGCCAAGACACTACAACTGGAATTCTTTGCTACCTACTCATCTGCTTCATTCCTTGTTTGGGAGATCCTACCCACCATGAAAGACATTTTAAGAAAATAATGCTAAATAAAATCAATAAAAAAGGAAAATAATGTTAAATGTTGAAATATTGGCATTACACTCTCCGACTGCATATGGATGTCTGAGGTCCCATCAGTCTAATCTGCTTACATCCAACATGAGACCACTACACACCGGCACTCAGCAGGGTCAGCTCTTTTTTTCTGTTAATTAGTTTAACATTACTAGTTTGTAATTCTAATAACTTCTAGGAGAAACTATTAAATACGCACCTCTGATTCTACTGAACGAATAGGATACTAGGAAAAAAGTGAAGATGCTTTGGTTCTGTTTCTACCTTGGTTTATAATAGAAGAGGAATAGACTGTTCTTTTGCAGGAAGTGGGAGGGTTGTTTTGTTTTTTTTTTTTTTTTTTTTTTTTGGCTCAACATACACCATCTCCATTTAACGTCATTCTTGTTCACATACCTACTGGAAAAATTTGGGCTTTGGATACATGGGATAGGGCAAATTCATCATGTTTCCCCAAAATTTTATGCAATTGCCTCAGCCATATTAAGATACTCAAAAACTTTTGGAGCAGTGTCTATAATTTATTGTGTACCTTATACACAACACGTCCAAGCTGGTTGTTTTTCAGTCAAGTGTATACATTAGTACTGATTGAAGATGAAGTGCGATTTTAATATGTGGCATCTTTTCTGGGGTTCTACTGTGGCTTTCAACATTCTTTTAAAACCACTGGATTTTTCTAATTTCTGTCATTACAAAAAAAAATATTTTCAAGGTGAATTATGAGATTTTATATTAAAATTGAATATAAACATACAGGCATAATTTTGATTAGAAGAGGCAAAAGTGACTAACTGTTGAAAAAAATCTTAACAGGTAACAGTTCCAGCATTTTTCCTTGGCTTCTGCTTTTTTTAGAAGCCGAGATGGAGAAGAGAGGCTGTTGTGCTGCCATTAATATTTTTATTAAAGGAGTTCCCCTTGAAAATTGTGTGTTGTGGTCAGTCATTTCCTTGCTGGTCATCAAGCACCGGTATACTGCATGCTGCTAGGGGGCTGGAAATGCACTAGGGTCATTGAAGAGGAGGGATAAGGTATATGTCTGCAATTAACCAAAAGAATGGGAAAACGAATTGCAGTGCAGACTTCAGAAAACCTCTCTTTGGACTAGATCGTTCTACCTGAATAAAGCTACGTAAAGCTACTGTAGGATCTGGACTTCAATAAACCAAACATACCCCTTGCTCCTGGTAAGTACTCATTCCTCTCCTGCTGCTCCAGTCATACCACCTCTCAGGCTATATAGTAATATCTTTTTTGCACATGATAGATCCATTGTTTTACTGTAACGGTCCATGAGGTTCAGCTTGTTTGACTGTTTCTCCACTGCTGATGTTCTCACTGAAAAGGAGAAAATTAACACCTTGTCAGCTTTAAATTTTGCAAAATTAAAATGCTTTTTATTATTTATTCTAATTAAGAAATTTCTCACTGTGAAATTTCAAGTTATAATTTTCCTGATTACATCATCCTGTTTTAGGGATGTATTCAGGGGATTGTTTTGCTTTGGAATGCTGTTTTAATACTCCTGTAGGTATAAATACATACATATCTATGCATCTGTGTGTGGATAAATGCAGAAAGAAACCCATAGCTGATATGAAAGAGTTCCTTTGTGCTATTCCCCACCTGGACTGTATAACAGAGGGTATTCTTGCTTTAAGGAAGGTAGAGCTGTCTGCTGCCTAAATTATGTTCTGCAGTTCCACCTGGTGCAGTGCTGTCTTAGCTCAAAATAACCACTGGCAGAGAAAAAAATCCTGTCTCTGCGCTATGACTCTGAAGAAGACGGTGCTGCCCTTTCTGTACAGCACTACCACCTCTGTGCAACTGCACAAGGTGAGTTTTGTTAACTTTTAGTTAAAACTTTTTTAACCACTCAAGATCTGAGGACAGTGGTAGAACCAATGCCAGCACTACAGCAAGGAAATGAAAGATAAGGATTCGTGGAAGGATTAAAACCCTCTTAAACTCTCTTCCCTCTATTCCCCCTGGTAAAATCCATGCCTGTTTATATATGCAAGTATGTATTCTTGAACACATTGACCCCAAATCCTGGAATTAGGTTGCAAATGACTGAGGTGTGCACAGACACGTGGGTTCCCACACCTACACCGAAAGACACATCACTATTTACATTAGAGCAGGCGAGCCCTTGTGGCAGCAGATCTGACGTGGCATTCAGCCAGCCTGCAGCCTGCTCCAGCTCTTATTGGTGGTAAAATAGCCCAAACCTGCTGCTGTTCTGGAAAAACAAATATAATCCTCTTCTTGTCCCATCTTCCCCCGATTAAGAATAATCTCTCTATGGATGTTTAGACTGGGATTACGGCCAGATTAGGTTAATGATGTGAAACAATGTGCCTGCCGCACCAACACACCCCACCCCTCCCCTCCTGTTTAGAAGGTAAAACACCAGCACGGCTAAGGGGGGTAAGCACTTAATGACAACTACAGACAAGATCTCCCCAGTAGTCCTTAACATGTTTAAACCTCAGGGAATCTACCTTAGAAAAAAACAAAGCAATTTCTATTGCTTGCACATCAAAACCGCTTTTTTCAGAGAATAGTTCAAGAAGTAACAAACTGGCCCTTCCTTCACTTCTCTTTAATTGGACCGGTTAAGGCTATTAAACAGCCTTCCTCGTGCAGGTATAATTATCCGTTCCAAAGTATTTCCACTGATTTGCCTCAGGATTTTAAATACTGCAATTACCTCTTTTTTTAATGCTAAAATTAATCTTGAGTTACTACAATTGCTAACAGAGCAAGAAAACTCAACTTCCAGAACTTTCACAGTTATTATTCAGCAGTTCTAACAAAATTCCTTGTACCAGGATTTATCTAGTTAAAATTTCATACATTCCAGGCAGCCTGACAAGATTCACATCTCATTTTCATGACGATCCCTATTCCCCAAGGGATAACACTCTCACAGTTCTACTCCAGCAAAAATCAAGCGCCACAAACAATTAGGGAGACTTTGTATTATCTAAATGAAAGACTGAATGAGAACGCATTTCTAATTTTCCACTGAGATTTTTACATGTGGGCCCAACAGTACTAGTGGCACATGCACCCAACCTTTTTCAGCTTTTTTTTTTTTTTTTTTTTTTTTAAAATACATTTCTGTCCTTGTAAGGCTTGAAATGAGAAATATCAGAATCTTTGCTAATCTGGTTGCACCCAGGAAAGTGAAGAGGGACAACTAGAAAGTAATTAGATGTGGCTCTGCTGTAACCACTGCACTGTGCGGTGTAGACACATTCATTTTCAGCACAAGTCTGTTGAGTTCTCCTTTTTTCTGCCTATCTTCACGTTGTTGTAAATAAGATGGCTTTGTTATTGTCTCAATACTGTTGAAGGACTTAAGCAAAATCTCTCAAATATAGAAAGTTAATTAATACTCCCTTTTTTTCAGTCTCTCCAAATAAATTTTGCATTTTAGAGAGCTAGTAGAATGCTGTGGTATTTACTATTTTCACTGATGTTTTTATGCAGGTCTGCTAGAAGCTAGGGGAATAAAAATTATTAAGTCATAGATTCCCAGAATTTCTCACAGTTTTGCAACTATTACGCACCCAAGTTACCCTCTAAAGTGCAACAGTTGTCAGATCTGGCAAGCTGAAAGTGATACATAATGCTGGAGTTCATTTTCATTACTTCACCTTAAGGCCCTCAAAATCAGAAGTTCATAAAATGTATTTAATCTGCACGCTTGTACATTTGGTTCCTTAATTCCCTATATCCTATCTATATTTATCTTACCTCAGAGAAGGAGAAAACAGCTGATGCACTTAACTCTGGGTTGACTGGCATCCTGGGCCAGCAAGGTACTCGACACCAG